ATATTAATAAATTATATTTTTATTGATCCCAGAAGGGAAATTTGGTAAACAATGACAAATATACGTACGAGGGGATGAGATGCCAAACCCGCTAAGCCACATTTTGGAAAAAATCGACATTTTTTTCTTATAAATACGTAGTTTCCGGCTATCAGATGCACAGAGTGTTTTTGGCCAAAAGCGAATACGTACTTCATAAAAGCCACCACAAATCTTCTTTTTATGCGTGTTCGTGCGTATAGCAGCATTTTTAAGAAAGCTGATTTTCTCAAAAGTGCTGAAATAGATATAGCGGGTTTTGCATCTCAGCCCCTCATACATACATAAATACATAATTATAGATACATACATTCATAAGTACATACACATCATATACACCTATAAATACGCAATATTACACTTATACAGAACACTGTCACAACCTTGTCATTGCTGTCCATACGGAAATACAATAATCATGTGTAGAATTGGGTGAAAATAACGTGCTTGAGTGTACAGACCGGGGTCAGAAGTGGAATAAAGACAGCTTTCACGTGTAAATAGTAATTACGAGTACTCATGCTATGATTAAAAGGATTGTTCACTTCCGTCCGTCCGCATGAAAAAATAAATTCCAGCTCAACTATTTATTTGCCAACGAGCACATATTCTTGCACGACACTCCTGTAGGCCAAGGACCAAATATGTTTATTTTTAGAAACATATTGATCTGCTAGAAGAAAAAGTTTCCTTATTTTGTCCTGTATTAAACAACGCCAGTTGGTTGAATACACAAGACCACTACAATACCGGTAGATGGTTTACAATATCCTAGACTATAACAAGGTCGTGTGGCCTATCCAAGACCATTCTTCAGGGAATTGTGCGGGGGAGGAGAAGGAGAGGAAGACAAGGGAAGAGGTTAACCGACAACATTGCGGAATGGACAGGGAAATTATTTTGTCCAAACTCAGGCGCTCGCAAAAAAGAACGTGAAAAGTGAAGGCATCTGCTGCAGCTGACGAGGCTCTATGTCATACAGTACAGTACCCCTACTGATAATTATGGATTCTGTGATCAATGACAGTGACAGACTATACAAATTGCTTATTTTGAGACAAAATGAATTGTAAGATAAACCCATTCTTAAAACCCTTCATAATTACAGTTCTGACAACACCCACAGAATACACCATCATCGCGCACTGCAAGCGCTCGCAACTGCATAAGGTCATATGAGTGCCAGAAGATTAGAGCTGTTACAAGAGAGTAACAAACATAAAGAAGAAGAAGGGGAGATAAGGACGATAGATGTTTGACAGGAAAGAAGAAGCAAACCACACCAGAGCACCCGCCAACCATCCACGGTATAGGTTTAACGCCCCAATCAACACTATTAGATTATTTAAGAGGCAGGGCCTCCGAGTTTACAGTTCATCTCCGAAAGGACCGAGCCAAATAGGAAATTCGTGTAAAGTGCCTTTCCCAAGGACACAACGTCGGACCGAGCTGAGGCTCAAACCCCCGAACCCGTAATCTCACGATTACGAGTCAGGTAGCCTAACCTCTAGGCTACCGACGCCACATAAGGATAGGAGAGAACCAATATCCCATGACGATATAATATGTGTCACGACGTGGTGGAATCGGGCTCTTGTCAGTTTTGTGGTATATGGGGTTATAGGTAGTTCATTTGTTTTCCTGTTGGTGAAAAAAAGTATCCATCTTCTTCTTCTTCTTCTTCTTCTTCTTCTTCTTCTTCTTCTTCTTCTTCTTCTTCTTCTTCTTCTTCTTCTTCTTCTTTTTCTTCTTCTTCTTCTTCTTCTTCTTCTTCTTCTTCTTCTTCTTCTTCTTCTTCTTCTTCTTCTTCTTCTTCTTCTTCTTCTTCTTCTATTATAAATAATTATCATTATCATTAGTAGTAGTAGTTGTAGTAGTAGTAATAGTTGTTGTAGTAGTTGTAGTATTAGTAACATCTTTCTCCCCCCCCCCCTCTCTCTCTCTCTCTCTATCCCTCTATCCTTCTCTCTCACGCTTCTCTTTATCTTTCTTTCTCATTCCTCCTCCTTTTATCTCTTTCTTTCTCTGTGTGTGTCTCTCTTTCTCACATAGACACATTCTCTCTCTCTCTCTCTCTCTATCTCTCTCTCTCTCTCTCTCTCTCTCTCTCTCTCTCTCTCTCTCTCTCTCCCTCTCTATGACTACAACAGCCAGCACACAACTCAAGCACGTGCAGGGCAAACGCCGAGGGAACGATACCAGGCAGGTGTGAGCGACGCCGAATCCATCAGGGAGAGCGACTGGTATTCCTCGGGGGAGAGAGACAGACAGAGAGAGAGAGAGAAGAGAGAGAGAGGGAGAGAGAGAGTAGGAGAAGGAGAGAGAGAGAGAGAGAAAGAGAGAGAGAGAGAGAGAGAGAGAGAGAACGAAACAAAATGTGTGTGCATGTGTGTGTGGCTGTGTGTGTGAGTGTGTGTTTATGTGTTTGAGAGAGAATGAGAGAGACAAGGAGAAAGAGAGAGAGACATAGATGGAGACTGAGGGACAGAGAGAGAGAGAGAGAAAGAGAGAGAGAGAGAGAGAGAGAGAGAGAGAGAGAGTGAGAGAAAGAAAGAGAGACATAGATGGAGAAAAAGTATTGAAAACACAGAGAGAGAGAGAGACAGAGAGAGAGACAGAGAGATACAGAGAGAGAGAGAGAGAGCGAAGGAGAGAAAAAGAGAGAGAGAGAGCGAAGGAGAGAAAAAGAGAGAGAGAGAGACGAAGAGACACAGAGAGAGAGAGACAGAGAGAGAGAGAGAGAGCCGACAGCTCCAAAACCTCTTCCCCGCCTCCTGTTATGCGGAGCGCGTGCTGTCATCCAGGAGCGGCGAGCAGAAACTTCTTCAATAATGTGAAGTAGCTCACCCGCTCTCCGGAGAGAGAGACACACAGAGAGAGAGAGAGAGAGAGAGAGAGAGAGAGAGAGAGAGAGAGAGAGAGAGAGAGACAGATTCCCCGCTTCTCCTTCCTTCCTTCCTCCTCCGCGCTCATCGTAGATTGCTGAAGTGGGAGCCGAAGAGTGAGTGGTGCTAGTTTTACATTCGGTTTTCTGTCCGGAGTTTCTTGAGTCGGTCCATGACTTCTTACCTACACCAACAACGCTTAACGTTAGTCTTTCTTTCTCATCTTCACATAGGGAGTAAACATGTGTTAGAACGTTGTTAGAAGAGAAGGTAGGTCAATGGAGATAATCATATGTGCTGTGTGCTTATCTTTTTCCGTGGTATATTTGTTGTCCTTAGCGACAATTTGCCGTTTTCTCTCAGGATGTTGATACGGGCTTGTTTATCGAGCAGTGTATTATCGCAAGTTTTGTTATCTCAGGCTACGAAATCACCAGCTTGTTGTGGATTCTTTCCAACGGTTATTTCAAAAGATCATTTATTATCTTCACCATTGATTCTCGAGAAATCGTTCACCTCTTTTCTTTTATATCATTCCTCGCTTGCACCATTCATCTGTGTATATACACAAGGTTAAAAGAATGTTTTCTTACCCGGAACTTAAGCCAAAACGAAGAATCAAGCGAATTCAGATTTACTCTCGTGAAACAGACGCATAGTTTTGCAGGCTGACACATTTTTCATCTGTTCCGTGCTCCACCCGCATATTTAAGATTGGCTTTTTTATTTTACTAACGTCATGGATTTTAAATTCCTTGTTAATGTTTTACTAAGTACACGTCACTGTGATGTTGTAAAAGAAAGTAATACAATAATTATGGTGTTATAACGCTGACGAACGTTTTTGATCAACGTATTTTGTATATATTTGTAAGTTACACAAAACCATATTAAATGTTGAGTAACTTGCGCAACCATAATATTGAGTTATTTGCACAAAACCTTATTTGAATAAGTAATTTACACAATACCATATTGAATAATTTACACAAAACCATATTAAATAATTTACACAATACCATATTGAATAATTTACACAAAACCATATTAAATTTAATTCACACAAAATCGTAATATTGAGTAATTTACACAAAACCATTTTGAGTAATTTACTCGAAACCAAATTGAGTAATGTACACTAAATGGTACTGAGTAATTTACACAATGCTATTTAGAGTAATTTACCCAAAACCATATTGAGTTTCATTTACGCAAAACCATAATATTGAATCTTTTACACACACAAAATTTGAATAATTTGAACAAAATCATATTGAGTAATTTACTCAAAATCATGTTTTACCATTAACGATCTCTCCAAGGTTACAATAATGTTTTGCAATACGCCTGCATCGACACAAGTGAAATCAAGGGTTGGGCTTCGACGGCCCTGCCTGTCAGAGATAACCCGGTCTAAGAGACACATAATATCAAACCATCCCGCACAAAAACCCAGATACTCGGTAAAAATCCACCTCTATGGAGAATCAAACCCGGGACTGGACTAATGCGTGCGACGGCGAAACCCCTAATTACTGCTACACCACAGACGACAGCTTGTAGTAGTAGTACAGGGTTTTACGGCGCTCGCAACTGCATAAGGTCATATGAGCGCCAGCTTGCTCTTACGCCATAAAAAAAAAACTTCAGTAGCGCCATAGACGGGAGAACTAAAAACTTTTCGAAACTAACACATCTTGATAATCAATAACCATCACCATGAATCGACACCACTATTTCTATTCTGCTCTCAGATTCTTGACTTTCATCTATAATTATTCCTTGAATCTCTGTCTGTAACAGTGTTACCTGTTAAACTAAGTGTGTACGTAATACACTATTGGACACTATCAAACGAACTTTTTTCTACTAATCAGATGGTTTCAATCTCATATAAATTGGCAAGGGACAAAAAAAAGAAGAAAAGAGCTTTCAATATTTCAGTAAAAGCTTGACATAGATAGATAGATAGATAGATAGATAGATAGATAGATAGATAGATAGATAGATAGACTAAATGGGAGGAGGTTGCGTTATCTCGTTAGAAATGTCTGATTTCAAGTGCAACACTGCACATATCAAAAACAAAACATTCAATAGAATTTTACAGCACTATCGACTCAGTTTTGGTCATGTAAGTGTCATGTCATTCCGCAGCTTAAAATCGTATGTTGTGAATCTGAAACCTATAGTACGTTTTATTTTTAATGTCAATGTTATTTTTGTTTTATTTATTTATTTATCTATTTATGTGTTTATTTATCTAGTATCTATCTTTTTATCTATTTGTTGATTTTCTTGTTTATTTTTATTCATTTAAATTTATTTATTTATCTATTTTGATCTGTTTCTTCACTTATTTATATTTTTGCTTGTTCTGTGAAATAGAAACGTGTGGCGCTCTTGTACCTGTACCACCTTCAGTCACAAATTAACATCTCAATTCTTTTCAAATTAGATGGATTTTTATTTAATCAAAAACAAAAAACAAACAAGACAAATGAAAAAAAAAATTAATTTAGATGATATAAATAGCTCCATTTACCCCAGAAATGGCGAGCGAGTGTCTTATTCCTCCGTATCGTGACATAATAATTATTTTACACCCCGACTGAGTCACCGAAGTTTGGACACACAGAGACGTCGTTCTTTGTCGGTTCTCTGCCTGCTGTAAGGTGGTGTAGTCATCTTCTTCCTTGAGCCAAAATAGAAGAAAAAAACCGAGCTGGCAGCTGCCGATAATCCCGTAAATGTTGTTTCTCCTCAATTATGGCGAAGGCCAAAACTAACACGGTTCGTTTTTGTGTCTGTTTCCGATGAGGGTTCTTTGGGTTCTCAGCTGAGTCATGTGTGCGCTGTGTGTGTGTGTGTGGGGAGGGGGGAGGGGGTGCGGGGTGGTACGGGTACAGTGTCGTTAAGTGGATCATGAGACTTCCCCATCACACGCAAAAGACCCGGGTTCGAGTCCCAACTTCTTCGTCGTCGTCGTCGTCGTCGTCGTCGTCGTCGTCGTCCTCCTCCTCCTCCTCCTCCTCCTCCTCCTCTATATCCTCTCAGTTACAGACAGTAATTAATACTTTGTTTGGATTTTACCGTACCCTTTTAGTTCATCAATTTTCAATTGGGTAATTTCAAACTAGTTATTCTTCTATGGAACAAACGTCTTTGACGTCAGTTGAGGGTGATTCAGCTTCTCTATCGCTATGATCGTGATAGTATTGGTTTTGTTGTTTTTGTGTGTTTCTTTGTGAGTTTGTTTGTTTGCTTGTCTGTTGTTGTTGGGGGGTTTTTTAACTTGAGAGAAACCTCAAAACACTTAATTTCTGGAGGGCGTTGCCCCAGCTTTCCTGTTTTCCTTAACCGCACTTAAAAGGGTGTCCTATCCACACATTCCATTTACACAGTCTTCTTATCACAAGTACCCATAATAAGGTAATGTGGCGTTGTGAATGAGTGCTCTAGGCACTGAGAAAGAGAGTTCCACATGCTTACTTCCCTCCAAGTGTAGCCCCAGGCTTAGATTTGGGCAGGGAACAGATAGGACAGAGACGACGTGATGAAAAGACTGCTATCGTCGCTTAGGGAGGTGTCTGAGCAGGAGAAAAAAATGCTACCTCTAAATGTGAAAAGAAAGTTCAATTTCCCGGATCAATGATAATGATAATACATGTAATTATAATTTTAATAATAATAACAATAACAATAATAATTTCTAAAAATAATAGCAAAAACAAAAGCAAGAATAATAATAATAATAATAATAATAATAATAATAATAATAATAATAATAATAATAATAATAATATGATGATGATGATGATGATGATGATGATGATGATGATGATGATAATAATAATAATAATAATAGTAATAGTAATAATAATAACTGATTTTATATAGTAGTACATATCCGCTAGAACAATAATTATGCTTTATCCGATATCATTAACCCTGCAGGTTTCTGAGTAGGCCTACTGTAAAACATTCTTACCTGCCCGGAAAAGCATTTTTAATTTAAATAAAAGTATTACGTGTTTGCAACACAATAAGGTCATATTAGTGGTGAAGCGGACAGGTGTTACAAGAGAGTAACAAACACAAAAAAGAAGGATGAGAGAAAAGGATGAAAGATGCTTGGTAGGAAAGAAGAAGTAAACCACATCAGAGCACCCGTCAACCACACACCCCGGGAAGCATTATCTAATACAACAAGAGTTACAATGCAGTACAGTTAGAGTGGGTGGTTGGTGGGTGCTCGTGTGTGGTTGGCTCAATCTTTATATCAAACGTCTTGCGTCCCTATCTCCTTTCTTTTTTCTTCTTTTTTTTTACGTTTGTTACTCTCATGTAACACCTCAAATCTCCTGCCTCTATATGCCGTTATGGTGTTGCAAGTGCCGTTAAACTCTACTTAAACGTACTAAACTAATATCGTTACAGACCAGACGATTCCTATCCAAAGATACTCTTCGCTACGTTAGGGTATACTATCTTTGACATAACTGTCCCATCTGTACCTCCCCCCACTTCTATGAGCCTTAAAGGTCTCTCTCCGTTGTAGCCCTGTCGTGATGCCATTGTTTGCAACATTCTGTCTGATTTTTCCTTGGCGCCCAGCCCAGAACCAAGAGGGTACGTGAGAGAACGCAACCTTCGGAACAGAGAGGTGAACAAATAGGTACCTCTCAGGGAGAGGGGGGGTGAGAGAGAGAAAGAGAAGGGGGGGGGGAGAGAGAGAGAGAGAGAGAGAGAGAGAGAGAGAGAGAGAGAGAGAGAGGAGAGGGAGAGAGTGAAAGAAGGAGAGAGAAGGGGGGGGTAAGAGAAATAGAAAAGGAGAGAGAGAATAAATGAGAGAAAGAGAGAGCGAATGAGAGAAAGAAAAAGAGAGAATAAAAGAGAGAGAGAGAGAGAGAGAGAGAGAGAGAGAGGGGGGGGGGGCTGAATATAGATACTTTGGAAAGCACGTCGTCGGTTTGTCGTTAAATTTTATTGTACCAAGCCGAAAATGTTGCTTTTTTAAGTGCAGTTCCTTAATCTATACACTTTCGCCGCCTAAAACTTCGTAGTAACTTACTCTCGAATTTGAACAAATTAACTGTTATTCAGAATCATTTAAAGGGTGCACAGGTTTACTGAGGAGTCTGAAGTCACTGCAGTTTAATTTCAGTTTTTCATTAGTTTCTTTTAGATCTAATCTTGGGAAAGTCCGTCTTCTTAGGCGCCATTGTGAACAAGTGAGGATTCCGTTCACGTTTAGTGCGCACTCATTCCACACCTTTGAAATTCTGGAGTATACAACCATGAAAGCGGAATAGAGAATTAATCTATGCATCTATTAGTATTATATATGTTTGGCAACTTGGAAACACATGTGTAACTTTTCTCTCAAGATTTATTGCTCCATTCCAGTAGACCAATGTAGTAGTAGACCAATGATATTCAGTTGGTGTTAATGCACCGATTATTCCTTTCATCAAAAATGTGCTCAGCTAGTCTATTATATCGGCTGCATCTGCTCAAGAAATAATTTGTCGAAATTCAAAATTCTGTATATGTCGAAATAAAAAAAAAACATCAACAAATACACAATTGAGGTACAATTGTGAAAAGATTGAAATGTTTTTCCGCTATTGAGAAAGTTTTCTTTTTGGGTCCAGACATAGTATTATTTCAACAGCTTGCCGAAAGTTTAGCGGTTGGTTGGTGGGTGTTCTGGTGTGGTTCGCACCTGCTTTCCTGTCAGCAAACATTTAACTTCTTCATCCGTCGTTCTTTTAGAATCTATTTGTATGTTAGTCTCTAATAACACCTCTAATCTTAGGCACTTATAATATGACCTATTACTAAAACCAGTATTATTTATATGACCTCTTATTAAAACTTTTAAAGTAAGACACCTAAAGCCGACGGTTTGCTAGAATGTTCTGATCAGTCGACAACGACTAGAGAAGCGATGGTTTGCGGCTTTGTAAGAAGAAAGGAAGTATAATTTCCGTTTTCAGTTCTATTTTTCGGTTCAGTTTTGTTTTGCGGTTGTTGTTTTTTTTAAGTTTTCGAAATTTTATATTTTTTGTGTTATTTTGTTGTGTTTTTCTTTTAATTATTCTCGTATCTAAAAGTTTTAAAAAGCCAGTCAACAACACGCATTCTGCAGAATAAGCGGACCTGTGTTTCTGTTTTGTGTTCGAAAAGTGCAACTGAATAAATCGCCGTCAGTCTGCTGCTGAACTGATGAGATACATGTGTCCGCCGGGTCATCGAAGAGTTAATTGATCGTGACTAGTGAAGAATTTCAGTAGGGCTTTGGTGAGCCTTTGATGCGATCTGTACTGCTGTACATTTAGAGAGAGTGGGCACCCGAGTTACGCCCGTTTTTTGTTGTTGTTTT